AAACCATCTCAATCTATTTTCTCTCATCAAGTCCACTATCGGCGCTACACCAATACTACCTCTCACATATTTGTTTCTTATTCTATCTTATTTTGTCACTCCACTCATCTATCCAAGTATTCTCATTTCCGCGACAGTCTCTCTACACCCTTTTTTTTACCTTTCAATCTCATTGAAATTTTCTTATCACAAAATACGCACGCCGCTTCTCTCYATTTCATCTACCCACACATAATCCTATGTTTTACATCCATGTCAAAACCCCCGTCCTGTTCTACAATCGATCCTAAATATTAAAAGCTATCGACTTCGCCTATCACATCACTACCTATTGTCATTGGTCTCCTCATCTCTTCAACTTTTTATTCTTTTCCTCAAAATGCATACCCTATATACTCTGTTTTATTTTTACTAATGTTCAATCTCTTTCCTCCAAGGGCTAACCTCCACTCATCCAGCGTATTATTAAAATCTTCCAAATTATCTAATACCAAAACTATATCATCAGCAAACAACACGCACCATGGTATCTCGCCCTGTATCTCTTTAATAATTGCATTTATTATCACAGAGAACAAGTAAGGGCTTATATCTGACYCTTGTACGAAAAATACGTAAAATCTTTTGTTACTCCATACAGACTCTTGATATTAGTACTCAATCCTAGATAAATATTTTGAACCAAATGTATGTAAATTTTTTGGACACCTTTTCTCATTAATCCAGCCTTTTCTAAATCTATTAACACCATGCATAACTTTTTGGTTGTCTTGCATAAAATATAGCTTCATTGTTGATTTTCCTGACCCGAATCTAAACTGATTTTCTGATATTGATGTCTCACTTCTTATTATCTTTTCTATAATCATTTCCCAAATCTTCATATTATGATTTATAAGCTTCCTCTATACTTCCCACATTTTGGTATGTCTTTTTTTCCTTTAAATATTGGTGAAATACAATTTTTTCTCCAACCGTCTGGCATTTTCCCACTTAAAGTACCTTATTAAAAAGATCTTTCAACCATCCAATGCTTACAACCCCTAAAATTTTCCATGCTTCTACTTTATCTGGTCCTATCGTTTTTTTCTTTTTCATT